AACACCTTCAAGAGATCAGCAAAGAGCTTGGCAGGATGTTCTTCACCATTACAAACGACAGTGCAATCCACTCAGAGTGTGCTGTCTCTGGGAAAAGGCAATTACATAGCTAGGACTTTGGTAGGAAATAAGAGCATGTTGCTCTACTTGAAAGCATAAACTGAAAGGAACGATATTTTGCTATCATTTTATCCCAAGCCTTCATCCAGCTTTCTTGGCTTAGAATATTTTTCTCAAAATCTCAAGTTCCTCCCATACTGCCTGAGGAGAGACTAAGTGTCCTTTTTGGTCACAAAGAAAAAGTTCAAAAACACAAGCTATAGGGACTGATTTATGAAATACACTACTATGCCATGCAGAAAGCCAAGTAAAGTTCCCTGCAGCTGGTTCTGGAATCAAAAACGTTATAAGCACACAAGCATTGCAGTAACCCAGTTCTGCCTCTTCAAGGATCAAAGCTGGTTGCTCCAGGGGGTCAGTCTCATCCCCACAGGTATTTGCCTTTCTTGAGTCACTTCAGGTTTCTTTCACACCATGCTGTGCAGCGTTGCATTGCACAGATGCACCCTGGTATTTCAAAAGTAAACATAAAGAAAACACTCAAAAAACTCCATCCTCTAATTCCAAGTGGATCTCAGATTGGTCCTTTTACCTTTGCCACTAATGTTTTCGTCTCCAGCAAAGAAAACAAGAGGAAACAAACCCTGGGAGGACTTTCACGAGGCAAACTATTTTCTGCTCAACTAATCCAAAGGTGCACAGGAAAGCACTGACACCTTTGATGTCAGAGTAATTCACTACTTATACAGTGAGAATCCTTCTCAGCCTATGCGGGCTATTTATTCTGGTCAGATCCTGCTCTGTGCAGACACTGGTGTTACAGCAGCACTTCTGGACTTTGTCAGGATTCTAACAGTCATCTAGGGATGCCCTTTCTCCATCCAGTGCAGCTCCCCATTCTCCCCCACCTGCAAAAAGCAGAACCGAGGAAAAGCACACTTTCACTTCCTAGTGATACCTGCAGTAACTCACCCTGTGGCCTAAGGGGTATGAAGGAATGACAGAATGGAAGCACAGAGTCTTAATTAAGTAATATTGCTTCCCTTTTGAAATATTTCATTTCTCCATCCCATTTCCACATGCCTCTCCTGAAAACCCTTCACTACAGTTATATTTAGTAAATAGTGTATACTGGATTTGTCATAACAGACTGGGCAAGGTACATTTTGGACACATTTTCACAAGAGCTGAAAGCATTACTGGACCACGACTATAAGTAGGTTGCTTTTAAGCAGACTAGAGCTCTAAACCAGAGAGCACCAGCCTGTCCTTAAGTCAAGACATCTGCTCATACACATCTCCTGTCACTGCCTAGTCGAGTGAAGATTACAAAGCACATTCTGATTATCTGTTTACTTCTTCTCATTCTTAAGTGGTTGCTTGGGTTTTTCTTCTCACAGAGCATTATGAGCCTTGGACGGCTATGTAAGCATCTCTTAGCACATTGTGCAAGCTAATAGAATACAAATGATTATATAAATAATATAGCTGCTGAAGATTTTCTTGTCACTGCTTTCTCTGCTCCATTGGCTTGACTTAGAGCACACATAAAAATGGCCTCAGCTAAGTGTTTTGTTCATAGCATCCATAAATAAAATTAAGATCCTGATTTAAAGAGACACTAAGAAGCTGTATCTCCTCCTGATTTCAATCAAACTGGGATGCTCAGTGCCTAGGAAAATCAAGCCCAAGGCGTCACAGATGAAACCAGAAGGAACTGTATGGCAGTTTGTATTCCAGCAGGGCAGTTTACATTTCTTATTCAAGATGCTCACATGCTCTTTTTCAGCATATGTGCATCTCTTTAACCAATCCAGAGGTCAGGCAGGAGAGCAGCTTCAGACTCTGACAACCGTTACTCACATCGGAGGACCGGCACATAACAGAGAACCCCTGACACCATAAGTCAAGCATTAGTAGGATAGTAATGTCAAGTCAGTTACAGCCACAGAACATCTACCTCAGAACTCCTGCTTCCATGGCTCCTGTATGAAACCTCCACCTTTCCTCTCATATTAAGTGTTCAGACAAACATGAAATTACAACAACCTGCTGAGCTGCAAATAAAATTAGATCAACCTTGCCACACCCTGTGAAAAACACTATTAGTACAGAATCCCAGCCTTAAGGAGAAAAGCCTTGCAAGAAACTCTTATTCCAGGCTAGCTAGGAAGCCGGCTGACAGAAAACCTACGACTGCTTTTAAGTAAGCTTTCTATGACACATTTTGGAAACATCAATATCTGCATCCCCATTAATCACAGCGATAATCACAAACTATATTAGAAGAGAGAGAAAAGATAAAAGATAATTGCAATGCAAACACCCAAACGAAACTGGACCAAGTTTGGGATTCGGATTGAGACTTCATTTTTTTTTAACCTTTTTTTCTTTTTTTTCCCAAAGAACAATATTCTGATTCCTGCTGCTAGCCAGGCAGTCCAATCTCAATTACCCAAGTGTGAAGTTTCTCAAAGTTGTGGATTAACTATATGACAAGTGCACCCAGCCTGAGGAATACAACATGGGTTTCGGAGCCAGCTAGCTCTTGCTGACCAGGGCAGCCACTCAACTGCACAAAATTCCCAACAGTGTAGCGATTATAAGATTACAGTTGCCTGTCCTAGACACTGTTAAGGCCACATAATGACTCTGCCATGAGATAAGGACAGAATGGAGCAACAGGATGGTGCTAACTCCTGGTAGAGGTAAGATCTGGCTAGCCTACCTTATATGTGGCTAGCCCATACAGACAAAAATTCCCACTGTGGCAAACTGTACAAAGAAGCAACTGCTCGTATGCATACCATCAGTCAAAGATCACCCCAAGTTATGGAACAGATGGCATCTGTGACCACTGAAGCCCCCCACCCCCAAATATGCCTCCATGGATACCTAGAACTTGGACTGTAACTTAAGACACAAGTGAGGGGAACTTAAGGGTGGTATTATCATCCAGGTATTTTCTCAGACCTAGGAGGAGATTAACAAAGCTGGAGGAGAAGAATGTATCACTGATAAAGGACACAAAGAATGAAAAATTTATGGGCCACAAGGAAAGCCAACTCAGCAATTGTGCTGAAATCAGCTCGGACTGCATAAAAGGTAATTCCATCAGGGAGAGATCGCATCCTCTGACTTGAAAAACCCACCAACTCAAACAGAAAGACTGAGTGGAGCATGGGACTAATTAGTATAAGAAGCTAGAGAATCATTTAACCAATAGAACAAGAGAACTGTGGAGCCAATTTTGAGGAACTGAATTTTTTTCATTGCTTTAAAACACTGCTACTGTAGTGAGCTGTGCAAGCCTCCTCTGCCAGGAAACTGAAGATAGAGCTGATGGGCGGAGGCCATAACCCCCAAACTGTTCGGTTTGCGGAGGCCCTAAGGGTGAGTCTCTAGGTGTGTGATGCTTGTTGAAAGAAGGACAGTGGTAGTTCTCAGTGTGTGATACTTATCTCCTATGAGTCAGGCTAGGCCCTCTGTGCACACACCCATCACTAGCCAGAGAAGGGCTCTTAGCAGGGGTGCATCTGAAGCAACCCCCCCGTCCCACGCCTAAATGACTCTACAAAAACCATCACCTTCAGCCTCGGAAAAACAGCATGACTGTGAAAAACCAGCCCCCCTCCCCCACACAGGGGAAGCACCAGAAGTATTTCTAAGGGTACATAAACTCACTGGTTATGTTTCATGGGCTTCTTTCCCACATCAATCCCCGATGGACCAGTGATAACAGTGATTATGGCAACAACAACAAAGTCTGTCAGAGAACTCTGAGTGGTGACTATGAACTTCTTATTCTTTCTCTCTTTTTCTTTCTCTCTTTTCTGTTACACATTTTCCTGGGCGATAGCTTGATGCATATTATGGTAGTCAGTACAACCAAAACAGCTACATACCTGTTTTCCTTTGCAACCAAATAGTTCTAAAATAAACCATATCTATCATATCTGTAAACACAGGTAATCTACTGTTGATATACTTTTATTCACTCCAACGGATTTATTAGCAAAAATCCAAAAGTTACTTCTGCCTTGTGGGGCAGGCTGTAACACCAATGAGCATTAATTCCTTTGTTTTCAAAATGTATAAGAGTGAAAGGTTTTGAGTGACCTCAGAACCCCCCACCACCAAGAAGCTCAAGATAAAGAAGAACCAACGGGATGCCACTGGATCCATTGGAGGTGACTATCTTCTGCTTAATCTCTCTCTCTCTCTTCTCTCCTTTGTTTTCTATTTATTTCTATCTCTCTATCTCACATTTTATTGTTAAGTACAATCTGTACTAATGACTTCAGCATATGGTCTTGTTTTCACCTTAATTCTGGCAGAGGCATCTCTCAGTAATTGGATCACAACACATGGACTTCAAGTCCACATGCCTCGTTATTGCCACACATTCATTACACCCTCATGCTGCACTCTCCTCACAGAATTTACACTTTTTATGCTACTTTAAACTTTTATCTTTCCATTTTATTCTAATTCTGTATCCTCCTGGAAAATTTAGAACTAACTATGTTCTCAGGTGAAATCGAGGATCATAAAAAAAATTCTAAATAAGCTTCTGAATATGATTTTTTTCAGCTAAAAATGTTACTTGGTAAACAAAGGCCATTTATCTTTTTATAATGGCTATTGCCTCAGTGCCTAGAAGATAGCCATTTAGAAGAAAACATTACTAACATCTTACAGAAGATACCTCTCCCGCTACTAGGGTTATTTTTTCTGTAATCCAAACACTAGAAGTCTGATTCTGCCCTTAAGATCATGAGTCTTCCAGCCTTCTGTCCAGCCAAATGACAATTTTATCCTATTGCAGTATCAGTATAACATTCAACATCAGGGAAAGACATTGAGTGTGTAAGGCAGGAAAGAGTGATGACTTCAAGAAACCCAAAGCACAGAAAAAAGAACTAATTTGAAATAGTTACCTCTTTGAGGCAGCCCATGAAGTTGTTGCTTACTGGAGAGCCAGGTAAATCAGCAGTACTGGGGCTCCCTCCCACATAAAAGAAGTCATCTGAGCCCAGCATGGTGTAGTCCTCCTGCGTGTAGCCCGTGGTGGTAAGGATGCCGTCCACAGAGATTGTCACCTGTTTGAGGGACACAATGGACAAAGAAAATCCCAGCAATGACCTTACAATCCTGAACAGAACAACTTACCTCCCCTATAATTTTATGTTGGTTTTATTAAGGATTTTGTTGATATTTGGTATGTATTTTTTTTAGTTCAGTGAAGCTCTATTTTCTGGTCTGATTTTCTCACAACAGAAATGTTTCAGCATCTGCTTCTCCCTTTTCTGGTTCATCAGCACTCTCAGGCTTACCCACCAGCCTGCCCATCCAGATGCTTTCCATCTATTCAGGCCAGAAAATGGAACTGTCCTTGAAGGAGATTTCTCATATTAGCTGATTTTATGATTGATTAGAATTTATTTTAATGATTACAGTTAGTTATGGTTGTTAGTAAAAAACAAAACAAAACAAAACAAACCACTAATGAAGACAAGGTTGGTATTTTTTATTTTTTATGCTTCTTTTGCTCATGGCACACTGACAATCATGCATTCAGGGATGGGGGGAAAGGGATCTCACTTTCAATACATTATGGATGTGCATGCCATGTACCTAGAGAGACACACACCCACCACAAAAAGAAATAAAATAAAATAAAAAAAAAACTAACTCATAACCAAAATATAAGTAGAAAATAAAACTAAAGTAATCAAAATAAATCAACCACACACCAAGTGTGATAGAAGCAGAGATGAGAAAGAAAAAGGAAGAAGAAAATCGTGCACACACTGCACTTTGACATATCATGCCAATATATCTGAGGCCCAAAAAGATGATGGGAAAAAAGTGAAAAGAGAGGGAGGCAGAAGGAGAGGGAGAGTAAACCATTTCACACTTGCATGCAATCAAAAATAAAAATACCAAACAAACTCCATAATAATCAAAAAAACTCAAAACCAAACAGAAATATCCACAAAATCTCTAACCACAAACACATGGAGGGTGAAGGGTGACATAAGGAGGGGGAGGGAGAGGAGCAAGTGAATTTGATGTGTTTTGCTTAGATGTTGTTAGTGGTTTCAAGGGAAGATGGAGGAAAATAGATCGAGGCCAGGAGGAGACGGGTGAGTCACCAGACGTGGACATGCCATGCAGAGTGTGTACTGAAACAAACAATCGGCTGAGCTCCTGTTGGCCACGCAGGTAGAGGTCAGAAAGAGAGAGAGAAAGTGAGAGAGAGAGAGCAAGAGGAAGGAGAAGGAGAGAAAGCAGGAGGGAAGTGGGAAAAAATCAGGAGAAAGAGGACAACTCTGGCCAGTTTGCCTGTAATAGCCATTGCCACAACAAAAGAGGGAGAGAAAAAGAGAGCCTTCACCACCATGGACTAGAGGCCCTGCAATGGTTCTGATCTAGAAACCTTCAGAGTTAAAAAAAAAACACATAAAGCAAAAGCAGAGAAAAAAAAAGCAAAATTAAAACAAAAGCAAAAGAGAGAAAGTTAAACTCAAAAGTAAGGGATAAAAATCCCAACAATTTATCACTGGAAAGGAAAAGAAGAACTAAAGACATAGGTAAAGAAAACAATGAAAGAAATGTCCAAACCCCGTTTCCAGAAGAGTTGTGTTAGTTGCTTTTGATGCTCATTTTTCTATTCAAAAAGAAGAAAGAAAAAAGGGGGGGGGGAGGAAGTGTTTGAAATGAAATTAAAATAAAATTAAAGGAAGCAGTAAGTATAAAGGAGGGAGGAGAAAAAGAGGGGGGAGGGGGAGGAAAAGGCAGGTAACACACGGCAAACCCAAAAAAAGAGACAATAAGAATGATATCTACCAGACAATGTAGTTTGTTTACCATAGCGTGTCCAATGCCTGAGTGCTTTGCGGAAAAGGGGGAAGAAAGGAAATTAAAAAATCGTGAACAGAACGATTGTTAATTAAAATAACTAAAAGCAAAGATGAGTCGTTAGGGTGTTAGTACATTAGTTGGTTAGTAAAAATGACACATTGCATGAATGGTCTAGTGTTAGTTTTTCAAAAAAAGGGGTGGGGCACCTGAGACACACAAAGTGAGAAAGAGGACAATATGACCAGGACTCTATGGGGATCCATGCCATTTAGACTGTAAAGAAAGAGGGGGCTGCCTACTCTTCCCACCCTGCTATTAATTATTAACTTCAACCCTCATACACATTTTCCAGATCTGAACCAAAGTTTAAACAGTGCAATACTTACTCTTCAAATGCCCATCAAGGTGCTTCCCTCAAACAAGAACCTTAGTCTCAGAGATGTCCACACACAGTACACAATTTGTCCCTTCAGCACAGTCCCAACCATGACTCCATTCTTTCACCCACAACCACCCACCTACATTCCTGCTCCTCTTCCAAGCTTCACTACCCTCAAATGTTGCAGAGTATCACAAGCAGGCCAATATTTCCTTTGGCTGGAGTATATAGATGAAGAGTCCAAGACTCTGAGTCTTCCTTCCAGGTTTCCCAATCTGCAGCTTTCTTTACAGCAGGAGAGTTTGTAACTTTCAGGAGAAGCACACAACAAAGCCTCTGCTTGACTGTGTGCCTTGCCTGTAGCTCACTTCTGTCATCCAAGAGTATAGGAATTGAACCTCTCCCTACTGTAGGAAATGTGTCGAGGAATTGTGTAGAAAGAATTGTGTCACTTGTGCCAAGATAGAAGACTGACAAGATTTAGCATCTCTCCTATTATACTGCATCTATATTACAGAGGAGCTAGAAGAATTTACCAGTCAGTTGGTTTTAACAGAACTTTGCAGATGAGTTGTTAACCCCTCCCAAGGCATGCAGATGTCAATTGTTTGAACCTACACATTGTTTCTTGTTTGCTTTTTAGCAGCTGAGAAGCTCAAGATCTTTATAGCTGATTTTGCATTGAAACTAGTTTCAATGTCAATAGGAAAGGAAAGTCTCTGAGGGTCCATGTCCTTGTCCTGTTGTGGCTTAAGCTGGCATGAACTATCCTAAATTACACAAGCAGGTTCTATGCTGCCTCATGTACAGGCTATCTGCCTGCAAACCTCAGAGTTGTCCATTGACTAAGGAAGTGAGTTTGTGAAGACTTTGGGGCATTGAGCATAAAGTCCCAAGGTTATTTGCCTTTGGAAATGAAATAATAATAATAATACTCTGTACTTGGGTATAATGAGCACAAAATCCTCAATTCTCAATCAAGGAAGTCTCACTCGCAGCGAAATATTGTGTTAATAAATCCATTTTATAAACAAGGGAGTCAAAGTATGGGATGGGGGGAGGAGCATGCTAAAAATGAGACGGAGTGTCAGCAGCAGACCTGAATACAGACATGGGAAGTCCGACCTTCAGTCTCCTCTGCTTCTCCTCCTCCTCCCACCAGACCACACTGACCCAAACATGCTCTGAAAGCCCTGGTAAAATATAGCCATGATCCTATTTCTAAGTAAAGGTTTCTCACAAGGCAGAAAGAGGGCTTAGTTTTAACTGAAATAATAAGATAAATAAACAAGGAGATTTGCTTTGACATTAACAATCACTACCCAAGGGAATCTGTGGATTCACTTCGTTTGTCTCTAAGGAGATTAACCGCTGCGATAGTCATTTGATCTAAAAAAAAGCAGCACTTAGTACTCTCCTAGCTTAGCTACAAAACATTTAACAATTCCAAAAAATACTGGGAAGAAGTCCAACTATTTAAAGTTCTACTCTAATTCTAGAAACAGCCAAAAAGTTATGCAAATCCTCCTCCCCCTTCTCTCAGCCCCAAAAAAGCAGAGGAAAAGACGAGATGGCTTCCTGAAGCTGCTGATAGTCCATTTAGCTGGAATTGCTTTAGCTTTAGATCATATTCTTGGAATTTCTTTTTTTTTTTTTTTAATTTCATTTTAAAGAGAAATATATTTATCTTCAGTGCAATATTTCCAACCAATTACAAGGAGGCTACTGATTTTCTTATAAAACCTTAGCATTCAGAGGCAATGTATTTCGTTGGTTTTTTTAGTTTGAAGTGGGTGCTTTTAAGGAAACATGAGCATAGCTGGAAACAAGACTTCCAGATGAACTCTATTATGCTGCAACATTACAAGTGAATTTATGTCAGGAAAGACACAGGGTAGGTAATCTTTTACATACAAAATTATTTAGGTTATACAAAATTATATTCAATGACAAGATTCAGGACTATCAGGATTGCACTGCCTCAAGGCCTCATGAATTCCAGTTTTAGGTAGTTTTAGTAGATAGTTTAGGGTAGTTTTAGATTCTGAGTCAATGTCTTAATTTTGAGCCTGATAAGGAGCTGAAATGGAAGTATCCAGTGAAAAGATGACTGAAAAAACAAAAGTCCAGCCTTACTGATATTTTTTGGTTGAACTGTACTTTTTCATGCTTATCTATAGAATTGGAACCCAAATCACCTCTGCTAATTGTTTTTAATTTGACTTTAAGACTGCCTTTTCTTTGGAAAGAGCACAGCCATCTTATTAAAACATCTCACTCTTGCCCAGTCAAGTTGGACGCTTTAAGAATTCAGCATCACTTAAAAACATCCATAGTGAACATATCAGAAGGATTAAAAGTTTGAGATGTTGCTGAATTGGCAAGGGACTCACCTGCTTTCTAGTAATTGCCAAAGTATTGCCCTCATCTAATCAAAGATGAAAAGGCATAGAAATAGTTCCATTGTCTTGGTACATTTCCATGGACTAATTAAAAAATCACTAACTAAAAGATTAAGAAAAGATTGCTACAACTTCCCATCCAGAGTTTTGTCTGTGGCCCTTCACTTTTTGTTTCTTCAAGATCCAAACCAATGTCAGCATGAAGCAAAGATTCATCTTGCTTCTGGCACATTTTCCCATTGAAATTGATTTCCAACAAAAAATGAAAAGTATGATTAACTAAAATTGGCCAGTAAGCTCTGCTGGGATATTCAGAGATCAGCTGTTCTGAAACTAGCTAAAAATAAAAATAAAACCCCCAAATCAAATAAAGCTATGTATTCTGACCCTTCCAGACTGACAAACCTAGACCAGTTGGTGCATCTCCCTCTATTGTACTGATCAGAAATTTGTAACAAAATAGGATCACTGAGACCCACCCAATGCTTAAGAAATTAAATTTACATCTGCATATAAAGTATTGAAAACAGATTCATTTTTTCCATAGGAAAGAATCCTGGAGTCTCATGACAGTTTGATGACAGATTTTTTGTCAAAGACCCAGACACCCTAAGCATGTAGAAACACAGGGATTTACATGGGAAAGACAAATAAAAATCTTCAGCCCCAAACCCAAATATTGAAAAGAAAGATATGAAATCCCCATAACAGATAAATTATCCACTGACATCTGCTAGTAGAGACTGTTTCTGATCCCTGGTGATGATTATCCTATATTCAAAGACACATTTATCTTAGCTACTGTAAAATGTTACCACAAAAGCTGTTTTCACAGCAAATTACATTATATAAACTTATATAAAGCCATTAAGTGTTGTGCTAATATTCACATTAATGAGAAAATAAATAGGTCATATTCTATTCACAAATCGATTTTAAAATCTTAGTTTACAAGCTATTTTTGCTGCCTCCACCAATGATCAAGACACCAAATAGCTCCTATTCATTGTAAACCTCATTTATCATGCAGGGGATGGGCCTTAGTGACTTGATATATTTACCAGCTTTCAGAGCAAGGTTATTTAATTTTATCTTATCTATTTATGTATGAACTTATATTTCATGAGAAAGGCTTTGGGATCTTAAGACTAGCCTACTACCAAATACATCACCTGATACAGTTGTCTGCTTGGAAAAGCAGCATGTAGATGTGCAAAATTACAGTGGCAAAATCAGTAAAACTTTTCCAAAGTGGAATTGTAGGGTGCTGGATTGATCTGGGTTTGCTTGGGATTTTTTGATGCTTCCACTTTTCCAGTCCTCACAGCCAACAGAAGAGTCTCATAGGCAGAGACACAAGAAATAAAGTAAAATCTCATTATAGAAAGAAGAGGAAAAAAATCAAAAAGAAGAAGAGAAGAACAGAGAATCAAGAAGACTCAGACTCCAGCCAATTAATTCCAAAGCTATAAAGTTAAATTAATTACACACACACACCCATCAGCCTGCACACCTGCACACTCACATGCATACACAAAAGAAAAAGGAAAAGAAAAACAAAAGACTTCCAGAATTAGAATTGTGACATCATGGCAATGGTTAAACCAATTAACAAAACTGAAAGAAAAAGGAGAGAGGTATAGAGCACTGGCTGTTGGAAAAAGGCTCTGTTCCCACAGTAATTAAATACAACAAGAATATTACTGATAAGATTGAATCATAATTAAGGAAATAATAAAATAAAAAAAGGAGAACAGAAAAAGAAAAAAGAAAAAGAGAGATGAAAGTTATGCTACAAGTTTTTATTATTAAATCAAACTGAAAAAACACAGAAAATTAATAAAGTGGAAATGAAGATACTGCGGCAGGGATAAATTCCCATCAAATAATGTTTTTTCACTGTCCTCTAGGTTCCAAGATCTAACATAGGTGGAGAAACTCTAGCAATTCCACTGAGCTTCGCCATTTTTCCAGCACTCTCTCTCATCTGCCTGTCCCAATAAAACAACACAAAATTCTCCCCAGCATTTTCTCCCGTTCACCATTACCTGCCGCAGGTTGCGTGTCACTTTAACGTCGTGCCACGCGTTGTCATTGAACTTGCCATTGACCGGCTCCACAATGGCCTCAAAGGCCCCAGACCCCAGGTTAATGACCAAGGACACTGCACCGTCTTTCAGGGCCAGGTTGACATAATCCGCTGACTTGCCGGTGTGCAGAATGAGCCCGTTGCGTTGCCACGTCTTGAAGGAGAGAGTGATCTCATCGCTGCTGCTCTGGATGGGGTTCTGCGACAGGTCATAACACAGGTATTCGGAACCACGGAAAGTGGCCATATTCTCATCTCGTGCTGGAAAGGAAGGGGGGGAAAAAAAAAACCTATTCAGCAGTCAGCAAAGAGGAGATGCAAGGTTGTCATGAAATCTCTAAGCAATCCCACAGCACTGTTTACTGTACAGCTGTATATCATGGCATGCTAATGACTGTACAGATCCTTTTCTAATAAGACTATCAAGAGAATTAACTTCAGGGTCCTCATTACTGACAAATTTCAGTGCTGTGTTTTCAGTTTCACTGCAGCATTGTCATCATAGGGACCATTCAACAGTATGCAGTGAAGTCTAGGAAAAACATTTAAGGACTGCTATAAGGCCCTTCACATGCTTTTTGGGAAAACGATGGAAAGCTCTACTATTCTCAGCATGACCACCACATATGCATCATTTTAAAAACCCTCACCATTTCCCAAAAATCAGCATTTAGATTCAGCACTAATGTCATCTGAACTTATATTAACCCATCCGACAGGCAATTTAAGAGAGACATCAGAATATAATCCTGATGGAGCTGCCTCTTTCTTTTAACTGAATGAGAGACCAAGCAGGCAAGAGAGCCACATTAACTGTCCTATAGATTCCTTCTCCAAAAGTAGGAGGGAAGTCCACATAAAACATTTTGTCCATAGATGTAAGTAATGTTGCTGGTAAACATATCTGAGAACTTTGCCTGACTGATCACCTTGTCGAGGAAATCTGTACCAGACAAGCACATCTTCTTTATACAGCAAAAATAAACATGGGGGGATTATTCACTGCACATGGCATAAAAATATTTCCTCATTAGGAAAAAAAAAATCTCCTATGTACATCAAGGAAAGCCAGTGAACTAATTTCTTAGCAACTGGAGGCAGCATTTGAATATCATGAAAATCCTTTGTGTGAGCTAGAAGTCTGTTTTCCAGTACCTCCTGTTCCAGTCCTTCAAAGCCAGTTCTGCTGCTCTATTGCACTTATGTGACTTGAGCCAGCTGCATACCCCGGTTTTCTCCAGTGGAAGAAACGTAAGACAGTGATAGGAAAGCTTGCAGGAGGGCTCTCTGTAGCCCATTCCTACCAGTGCCATCTGGGGGAAAAGGGTCCCCCCACTCAGTAATACAGCACCTTTCTGACTTCCAGCTGTGAAAGCAAGTCTGAGCAGTAGATGGTAGCTGCAGTCAAGCTATCATTGCTTAGAAGTAACTACATAGGGCGGGTGCTGGTCCTATTTCCATTGATATTAATCGTATTTTTTTGCTTCATCTTGTCTCAATCCTAATACAGAACAGACAGAATTTATTAGTACAAGACTGAAGGGAAAATACTTGCTGTCACAGCCATTCTTGGAAAATAAGTACATAGTAAAATCTATGCCCTCATAGCATAAAACAATGGTGACAAAACACTAGAATGTTGCACTTTGTACATATATCATTGTCAAGCGATAGATCTGCTTTAAGCAGAGACTTTTAGGGCAGTATGTGAGTTTGTACTTAAGTAAGCAGATCATGTGTCTATAAACTCCTACAAGCAAACAGGAGCCAAATTACTCCATGCAGTAGTACATGCTGGGAGCCAAGTGGCTTAACAGCAGTTTTTCAGAAGACCTGAGGGTCTCAGCACACAAGTCAGCAGCACTTGCCCTTTCAGCAGAGGCCAACTTCATCCTTGACTGTATAAACAAGGATCACCCAGCAGGCCGAGGGAAATTATTCTTTCCCCAATGGACATTTGTGAGATCACATTAGGACTGCTCTGTCCAGTATTGAGCTCCCCCATATAAAAACAGCTTCAGCGTACTGGAGTGAGTCCAGCAAAGAGCTACCAACACATTCAAGGTGCTGAGGTAGGTGAGGTGTATGGAGAACCTGAGAGAACCAGGTTTGTTCTTCTTCAAGAACAGACCACTCACAGGAAATCTTACTGTCCTCTGCAATGACTTAATGGGAGATCATAGAGAAGACAGGGCCAAATTGCTCTCAGAGGTCTCCAGAAGAAGGATGAGAAGCAACAGATGCAGCTGAATACAAGAAATTGTCATTTTATACAGGACAATGTTTTATCTTAAAGATTGTCAAACACCAGGTAGGGCCCAGAAAGACTGTGAAATCTCCATCTTTAGAAATATCAAAAACTTGATTAGTCCTGAGCTGACTGCTCAAACCGGACCTTCCCTGAGCTAGTGGTTGGACTACAGTCTCTGGAGGTCCCTTCCAAATTATTTGGTTCTGTGATTCTATTCTGAATCCATTTAACTACAAGCAAGAAGTGTTGAATGTTTGTGTTGATGTTAAACCAGCCTAAGCACAGAGGGTTGCTATTGATTGCAGTTCTGGAAGTCAGAGGCAAGCACTTAACAACCCTTTCCCACTTTGATAATTCCCCTGCCTAGTCACTCCTGATCCATCAGAACAGAATGTGTTACAATCCAGTTAGACACACGCTCCATGTACCCGTGGGAAACAGGCAGTGTTTGAGGGCAGGAGTCAAACACAATCATTATGGCTGAGCCTCTTCCCCACAACCACAGATGTACAAAGCACTGAATACAAATCTGTCGTCTTTGGGAAGGGGGGCATGATGGGTTGATTGTTCACTCAGTACTAGAAATATTACTAGGGCTCATTTACACTTTCTCAGTCACTTAGATGAAATCTTACTGATGTACTCAGTACAAAGGAGGAGGCCAAGAGTACATGAGAAATCTAAACAGTAATTTAGAGCGACTACTGCAGACTCATCAAAATAGAGCAGAGCAAATTCGAAGAGATATTACTCTGACTTGTACCATTGGTTTTACTATAGGTGCCATCAACCCACCTTTGCATGCAACTACGTTATCTGCCTGTTCCCTCCAGTTATCTGCTGCTGACCCTTATCACAGATGGGATTCTGGACTTTATCCATCTCTGCATCCTTCCTGTTCATGGGACCATGTCATTTATTTTTGTTTCATATGTTGCTATGGGGATTTTTTTTTTCCTTCTGTGGCTGCTTTGGATAGGCATTCAAATTTGCAGATCACCACACACCAAAATCTCTCTGGGGTTCACTGGGCAATCCAAATTCATGCCTGTCCCTCACATGTCTCATAAGCATAACTCCCAAGGTCAACACACTCTCTCTAAAACTGTGTTCCCCAAATCACTCATTCCTCAGCAGTTTACCAGTGGCCATATGGATGACTGGTTTACCAGTCTCATGAAAGTCTTCAGCAGTCAGAGCTAAGCTCTGCCCTTGAAGAGCTTCACAGCATATTTCTCCAAGCTACTACACAGCAGACTGTGTCAGGCCACATGAAAGGCTTTTTACCAAGCATGGCTTCTCCATACTGCACAAACTGTTAGGATGCTCTGACATACATGATAGCTATGACCAAAAAGCATGTGAGAATTACCAGATGCCATGGAGGGGGAGAAGGGATATAGGTTCTCTCCACAACGAATGAGGAGATAAAAACTCTGAGTAGGCTGCAGGTCTCACAGTATTTCTATATGCTTTCAGGCACAGTCTGGTGATGCCTGGAAGACCAGAGAGCAGTGAAACACTTTTTATTTGTTAGCTCATGACCCTTTTGCTGTATATTTTTGAAGGTTCCACAAATTGAACTGTGATATTTAGAGCTGTGATATTCCTTAGGGCCGTGATATTCCTTAAACAGTGGCAGTGTACCAAAGAGCTTCTGCACAGCAACACAGATAACCCAGAAAAGCTAAACTCAAGGCCCAACTCAAAGTCAACAGGAATTCTTGGTTTATGTTACATGAAGCAATAGATCAAACTTTGATTTTTCTGTGATGTGAAACCCTGTATATTGTAGGTGGTGTTTACTGGAATTGATGATCTAGTTGTTCAAGCGTGACAATGTAACTGCATAAAATAACATTTACTTAGAATTTAGGATATGTTTGAAAACTATTGATTTATACATTATTTGCAAGATTTCATTTTCAACTCAGTTAATACTAAACAGATTTGCAAAAATCAGAATTGGAAAGAAGGTTAACACATGTAAACAATCCAATCTTCCATTTCACTTGTAAATATTAATCTAAACCCATTATTTGCTTCCTAACTCTTTCACATAACTAAATTCTCTGCAGTAGGTGAGATTTTCAAAGATCCAAGACCTGTAAAAAATTCCACATTCAGACTTAAACCCTTGACATATTCAAGACTCATAGAAATCACCAGAATAGAAGCAAAACCCAGAATCTTCAAACTGACTTACACAGACCTTTTCTTTGAAAGAATGTAGATACCCATCACTTGATGTGGTAAAATGTTACCCTTTTCTGACCAATTGCTAGCAGACACACCTAGCATATTAAGCAGTTACCATCATCACCCCAATGCAAAGCCACTTTTGCAAGTCTCAAACCTATACCTGTTCAAATCCCCCAAACAATCATCAGTACCTATTGCAAGTTGATAGCAAGAAAAGAAACAAAAGTACAGGAAATAAGTACCTAAGCCAAGTTCCTGGCTCTTCTCATCCCTGTTGAAACCTCAGAGCTTGCTGAGTCTCAGGTTCTCAGGAGAGGTAAAAACTGGGGATCTTTCCATGTACTGTACAGCACTACTGCTTGATCAGGAAAGCCAGATGGTAATTTTAGCTTCAGTTTTTATGTGCAATGCTGTTGCTATGTGTTCCTGTCAGAGCTCTTTCTACAAAGGACTCAAATATTCAGAATTCACAGCATCACCAGGAGGTAGAAAACCTTGACAGTTTGATTTATGTCTGAGGAAACCAACGCACCAACATTTTAATGGATTTATTCATGGCCACCGAGAAAAATCAATAGCAGACAAAGCATTTGAGTTCAGAAGCTCCTATCTCCCCATCCTGGGCTCATTCCAGAGGTTCTCATCCATTTATGGAGGGAAACCAACCTCCTATTTTCTCCAGTCCTCCCAGGAAGTCACTCTAGCTAAGATGTGGAGCAAAGTAGCCTTCAAAGTTTTGGATGATACCTGAAAATAAATACTTCATGACTGTGAAATTGAAAACAGCAAACTCTAGAAGCACTTATTC